TCCAAACTCCCGAACTGGAACCTCACGAATAGCTGCTAGCAGACAAACAGGAAAAGCACCCAAGTGGCTTACACTCCTGGTAATCAGTCTCTAACAGCATACAGTAAATCCCCCCAAAGACAGAGCTCCGTGTTGAGGGTCAAGCAGTGGTCTGGTTTAATGAGGGCTACCTGCCCTGTATTTATGCAGGTCTCCCAACTGGTGGACACTCCCCTGGGAGACTGTGACAAAGGACAGACGTGAACCAATGACAGACACACAGAGGTAAAACATCCCCACAATGCATCCTAACTTCCCTCCCTCTGTCCTGGAGATAATTGGGAAGTAATCCAATTATCTCCCAGGACAGAGGCAAAACTCCATTAACCACATGGCAGTAAAAGACATAAAAATGTATAAAGCTACAACTGTTGCACAAAACATATACATTCTACCTATCCCCAGATAGCTTAGATCTGAGCGCACAAAAGTACCGAATAGCGCTCAGATCCTATGCACACAGTCCAATCGCCGCAGAGTTAAAGTGTTCACAAAGTCTGAATAGACTCCACGGGATGGCTATCTGGGGTAATGCTGTTCATACGGTTTAAACTACCGAATGAACAGGCATCCGGTTAAATGACCGAATGCAGAAGCAAGAAGACTTTTAACATGGGGCCACAGTCCAAAGGCAACAGGCGAGCAACCAGGCTTCTCCAATGCAATGTGGCGAGATTGGTCTTGTCACAAAGTTAACATTTGATTGAAAATAATAAAACGTTTCTCCATGCAGGCTGTGTGAATCACAGCCAGGGGAGGTGTCGCAAAAGTGATTTAACCCCTAAATGGCAAATAATTGAGCAGTGAGACTTCACATTAATGATCTATTCACCAAAACTGCTTTATTAAAGGGACACAAGAACACGTACAGTATATTGTATTTGTTCTGGTGAGCATAATCATTCCTTTCAGGTTTTTTGCAGTAAACACTGTTTTCTCAGAGAAAACGCAGTGTTTACATAACAGCCTAGGCACACCTTCACAGGGCACTCCTCAGATGGCTGTTAGTGGTGCTCCCTGGGTCATTGCTGCACAGTGTGACTGCCATTCAGTGTATCCACCCTCTGCATGGAGACACTGAACTTTTCTCATAGATGCATTGCATTGATTCAATGCATCTCTATAAAGAGATGCCGATTGAGACAGGGCTGTGTTTGGCTCTTGCTGGCTCTGTCCCTGATCTGCCTCATTGACCAGCTCAGTAAATCCAATGCTTTCCTAAGGGAAAGCATTGTGATTGGCTCAGATCACCACTTCTGATGATGTCAGCCAGGAAAGCAGATCAGGGGCAAAGCCAGCAGCAGCAGACTGCAGTAAAGGTAAGATTTTACTATATTTAGGGGATTAGGGGTGGCAGGGGGGTCTAGGTGGAGGTTTTAACACATACATGTTTGTGTTCCAACCCTATAGTGTTCCTTTAAGCCAGGGGTGGGGAACCTTCGGCCCTCCAGATGTTTTGAACTACATTTCCCATAATGCTCTTACAGCCATAATGCTGGCAAAGCATCATGAAATATGTAGTCTAAAACATCTGGAGGGCCGGATGTTCCCCACCCCTGCTTTAAGCTAAAGTTGTTTTGGTGGCTATAGTTAAGTTAATTCAAAGTAAATTTGAAATTGAAGGCCAGAGTAGCTAAGCAGAAAGCATAGCTGTCTAAGAGTTTCCAGTTCAGCTATTTTGACCTTGAATTTGAAATTCACGTTAGTAAATAACCCTGTAATTGTTGATGATTCACACATGGCGAGCCCTAATTCATACATATTCAGATTTATTTGATATATTTGTATAGATACATAAACATAACTTTGAGCGTTATAACCATTTTGTTAACCCATTTCTGAACAGAACCCTGCACTTTGCTGTCATAAACATTGCTCCAGCCTATTATGTGAACAAATTCATTTCCTCTATCCCTCTCTTTTTGTGCTAAAAGGATATGCTCATAGCTTCATAATGCACCTAAAAAAGAAGATTTACATATATTTAGGGAGTAATATAGAGATTAACTACCAAGTCAAATTATGTAATTCCTGAAAAGACCTTTTCATACTTTTGATCAACACATTTGTTCATCAACTTCTTCTCTGCAAATAGTTGTTTCCAATGTAATTTGTTCTGCAACATACCTTTGTATGTCAAATTCAAGTTTATTCAACTGAATCTGTTTTGTTCTTTTACACGTGATTTTGTTTGTGTATATGATATAGGAAATCACCTTTACTCAAAATAAAAACATCAAAAGTACACTATAAGCTCAGCGTGTTTCTCTAGAGCTCTTGATACCAGAATTCTACAAATATAATTTCTAGAGTTGTACATGGTGAGTAAATTGAGTTTTGGTCAAACTATTTTTTTTGAAAATATATATTTTTTCTGGATGGCCAAATTTTTGCCAAATGTCAGTTTGGCTTGGCTGAATTTCGGTAACAAAATACTGATTCAGAAAATGAGTCAGACAAA